CTCCATTTCTTAGTCACATTGGCAGAGCCTTCTTCCTCACCCCTTCCTCATTTCTTGTTCTCATGCAGTAAGACTGCTTAGGCTTGCTGATTCACCTATGTCTGCTGTCAGGAGTAGGGACTGTATGTTTCCAGGACAAGGTGCATGCTACATCTCTTAATTTGTCCAATTCTTTTTTTTTTAAGATTTTATTTATTTATTCATGAGAGACACACACACACACAGAGGCAGAGACACAGGCAGAGGGAGAAGCAGGCTCCATGCAGGGAGCCCGATGCGGGACTCAATCCCAGGACTCCAGGATCACGCCCTGGGCAGAAAGCAGGCGCTAAACTGCTGAGCCATCCAGGGATCCCAATTTGTACAATTCTTAAAGTACTCTTGTGCTGTGGTCTGTGGATACATTTCCTCCTTTTTTTTTTTTTAAACTTTTTTTTTAAATTTTATTTATTTATGACAGTCACAGAGAGAGAGGGAGGCAGAGACACAGGCAGAGGGAGAAGCAGGCTCCATGCACCGGGAGCCCGACGTGGGATTCGATCCCGGGTCTCCAGAATCGCGCCCTGGACCAAAGGCAGGCGCCAAACCGCTGCGCCACCCAGGGATCCCCCCCTTTTTTTTTAAGATTTTATTTTTAAGTAATCTCTACATCCAAAGTGGGGCTCAGACTTATAACCCTGAGATCTCGACATGCATGCTCTACTGCCTGAGCCAGCCAGGCTCCCCTTGACATGTTTCTTCCAGTCATTTCTGGCAGTCAATGGTCATTGGAGTCAAGTATTTCTATTCTTTTCAGCCAGGGCCTTCCAGATTGTTAGAAGTAGATGTCATATACTTATCGTGTATTACCTGGAGTCTTCTGAGCACAGGTTATTCTACAGTTTCCAATGATACCAAAGAAAGAAAAAGCAAAAACTAGTGACATCAGCTGACATTTTCTATGCCAACCAAATGGTGGGACTATAAGCTAGTGAACAGTACAAACAAGCCAAATGTTGAAAACAGTAATTACAGGGTTAATCTCTTTGGTGTAATGAGGAAATTAATGGAGAGAATAAAGAAATGGAGAAGTACAATACAAAACTGAGACCAGGAAAATTTAAAATGATTTCTTTAATGGAACCATCCCTCTCCCAAGAGCTAGTATTTTTTTGGTACCCCAGAAATTTTCAGGGTGTTTGTTAAGTGTGTATTCTTTCTTTCTTTTCTTTTCTTTCCTTTCTTTTTCTTTTCTTTCTTTTTTTTAAGATTTTTCATTTATTTTTTCATGAGAGACACACACAGAGAGAGGCAGAGACACAGGCAGGGGCAGAAGCAGGCTCCCTGCAGGGAGCCCGATGCAGGACTCAATCCTGGGTCTCCAGGATCACGCCCTGGGCTGAAAGCGGTGCTAAACCGCTGAGCCACCCGGGCTGCCCAAGTGTGTATTTTCATACATGTTTTCTAGTGCCTTGTTTTCTCTGGTTTAATGACATTTTCCTTGGGGCCTACTTTTAGTGACTTATTTCCATTTTCAATGTCGTTTTTTAACTTTAAATAAGACTATTTTCTTTACATCTAGTTTGAAGATGTCTCTCTAGGGCAGCCCAGGTGACTCAGTGGCTGAGCACCTGCCTTCGGCCCAGGGCGTGATCTTGGGGACCCAAGATCGAGTCCCATGTCGGGCTCCCTGCATGGGGCCTGCTTCTCCCTCTGCATATGTCTCTGCCTCTCTCTCTCTCTCTCTCTCTCTCTCTCTCTGTGTCTCTCATGAATAAATAAATAAAATCTTAAAAACAAAAAAAAAGCTGTCTCTCTAATAAAAAAAATGTCCTCATTGCCTTACCTCTATGGGTACTCAGAGGTAACAATTCATAAAACACTCAGCTCTTGGATGGGTTTTCTGGAAACACAGGAGGAGGCTTGTCAGGGTAGATGGTATATACACATTTGAAAAGAGTAGAGTATGGTTTGCTGATGATAAATGGTGATTAGAGAAGGTTACAAATATATTCAGTTGAAGAAATGTCTCCATGAATTGTTCTTTGAATTTTTGTCAAGCAGCAAAAAAGTAAATTGAGAGGAGTTTCTGATTCAGCAGGTCTAGGGGTGGGGCCCAAGAATTTGCATTTCTAACAAGGGGTACTGGTATTGCCTGTCCAGAGGCTACACTTTGAGAACCACAGCTTGATTTCAACGGTCATATCAAGGGCTGGCGGAGAAAGTGTGAGTGGTCACACACAGCTCTTGGTCCTCAGAGGTACTTACTACTTTTGCATTTGCTTTTCATCAGTGAGCTTGGGTGATAAGGAGGAAAGCAGAGAACAAAGTGGAAAACATATACTTAGGTGACTAGAGAATGGCAAGGAGAGGAGTTGAAAGTTTTAATTTGTATTCCTATGGTGGGGTGATTTCCTTTAGTTTCTAAGGGTAGAGCAACAGCCCTCAATCTTCACTGTGTTTCAGAATCACCCGGAGTGCCCCCAGAAATTCTGATTCAGTGGGTCCTGGGCACAGTCCATGAGCCTGCATGTTTATTCAGCATCCTGGATAATCCTGAAGCAGATTTTCTAAGAATTTGCACTTTAAGTAATACTGATTTTAGAAGAATAAAATAGATGTCCAAGGGGAGTCTTAATCCTACATGTGGGAGAAATCAAAGATATTACCAGGCAGATTCTTTCCAGCGTTGTACATAGAAGACAAGGTGCTAGAGCAGAGAGCAGAGGGGTATTACTTTTAAAAGAAGAGGTAGGGAAGGAAGCGGATCAGAGACTAACAATAAAGACAGGAGCCAGTGAAGACCAGATGAGCCGATCAGTTAAGAGGTGATGTGGTTTTCACTTGTGTGCTCAAGACCAAATACAATAAGGAAAAAATCTGGATGACGGAATCCTTTTTACTTTTTTTTTTTGGGGGGGGAGGATTTATTTATTTATTTTAGAGAGAGTGCATGAGTCGGGGTGGGGGACAGATGGAGGTGGAGGGGGGGCAAGCAGGCTCCGTGCTGAGTGGAGCTCCTTGAGGGGCTTGATCCCACCACCCTGAGCTCATGACCCCGAGGTCATGACCTGAGCTGAAATCAAGAGTGGGAAGCTCAACCGAGTGAGTCTCTACCGTCTCTACTGCTTAGTTCTCAATGGCAAGCTAGCAGAGAAGAGTCTTTCTTGCAAAAGCCAATTGTGCAAAGACAGAGTAGGAGTGGATGGCAGGAGACCAGGCGAAACACAGAGGAGTTAGAGTGAGAGTGGAGGTGGAGGACCCTGGGTGTTAAGGACATGCCATCAACCTGGGAGATTCCAGTGGCAACAGGGCCATGAGATGAAATATTCTAAGAGCAGCCAAGACAGACTGCAGGAAAAAACTATTTTGTTCTGTTCAATCATGATTAAAAAGAGTGAGAATAACTCTGTATGTGAGTTTATGTGAGAATGCACGTGTGTGTGTATGAGAGAGAGAGAGAGACTGAGCAGACAGGATAAGTGAAGACATCGGGCCAGGGACACCTTGCTTGAATGGCATCGGTGTATGTTGAGTATTCAATTTTCTGGTCAGGCATCAGGAGTGTCTGGGAGCTAATCTCTCCAAACATGTTCATTTGTATTAATAAGCAGAAGTAAAGAAGGAAGCTGTTGAGAGGTCTGCCTTTAGAAGGAGAAGGAAAAAAAAAATACTAAACGTTTCAAGAAAATGTTCTCTCTCTGGAGCAGTGTAGCATAATCCTATTTTTAGTTCTGCCTTGGACATATACCCGTGTGTACACAAGATTCGATTTTTACAAGTGCTTTGTCATGCTGCTTAGATCCCCCCAATTCCATGCCCATGTGATTTCAAATCTGTACTTGGACTGCAAGGTCCTGCTGTTTCCTTCCCTGCTTGAACTTTATCTTCACAACCTAGCTCAAGCCCCACCCTTTCTATAAGATTTTCCCTGAATATTAGAGGGGTTACTATTTCTGGACTTAAAATCACAGGCAAGGATTACATTTTACACATCATCCTAGTCTTTTGAGCTCACGCATCAAGTGTTTGCATTCAGGAGATTTCCAATAAATTATTGCGCAATGAATGAGTAAAGAAAATATAGCTTGAATCCTCCACTAACAGAAATGTCTGGTTTCCTCCCCAGCATCTGTTCCATGCCATCTGTCCCATCATGTAACAGGCACTGGTTGGGTGGAGTGGACTCCTCTTCTAGCTCCAGGAATGGGCCTTGATTAGCTAAATCAATCAATATAATTGATTTGGCTAGAGTGATTGGTTCGAGTATAGACCCATGATCCAACCTGGTCCAATCAGAATGAAGCTCAGGACATTCTCTAGTCTCTAGTGGGGAGAAATTCTCTTTATGGATCTTTTAGTATGCAGATGTGATGACTGGAACTGTTGGGATCAGTTTGCTAACGTGGGGGAAAGCAGTGTGAGGGTAAAGGCAAACACCCAGGAGAAGGTGGGCTAACATTCAGAATGCGATTCAAAAGTCTCATCAAACCACACAACCGTCACCGCCACCTCTGGACATTTCAGCCATTTTAGCCAATGTATTTCTTTATGGTTTAAGTCAAGGAATGAGTTTTTCCTGAGTTTTTCCTGTTATTCATATGCCTCCCTATTGTTGGTTGAGTTCCCCCTATTTTTAAATCTTTGAGACATAATATGTAATTTGTCTTCTTGCAGCCAAATTCATTTAGGGAAATAGCAGCACTCTTGGATGGCATTTACCCCTAGTAAGATTGTTGTATATTTTTGCTCTCCCTGCTGATTGTAACCAAAGTCATGTTCACAAGTGGGAAAATAATACATTTGAGAACAGTTTCTACCACAGTTTCTGTTCAAGATGATCAGTGTTCTTAGGCGCTCGGTACTGGTGTAGACTTCTTTTGTTAATTTGCATCAAATGTTTCCTGAACATTTACATCCATCCTAATTGTGTGCACATAGGGTGCTTATAGGCCAACGGAAAAGGTAAGCCTTTGTTTAACATCCCTTGGTGTCTATGATGGTACACTAAAGGCAGATACCTTTTCGGTGAAACTGAAGAGACCCCAGCAGACATATGGATTTGAGCATTTCTGTTGTGTACATTTCTAAGCAGCACTGCAGCTGGATATAAAGCCGACAGATTTCTGGATGGATCTCACCATCTTCCGGGCTGTAACAGAACGAAGGAGAAAAGCCGTGAGCATTTCTCAAGATTTCCCTCCTCAGCCATTTATCTCAGCTCCAAGGGGGGAAAATGCTTGATAAAGATTCCTTTAAGCCTTGACTCTAAAATATAGGACTTCCTGCTTTCATAGCAATGACCAATGTCATAGTTCTTACATAAGCGTCTTTCTGACTAACAGCTCTTAATTTTTTTTTCCCCTTTCAGCAGCAGATTTCTGCTGGGAGCTTAAAATCATAAATGTTTTAAGGAACTGAGTGTATCAGACATCTTCCATTTAACCATTGAAACAAATTTTCAAAATATATTTAAATCATAAGACTCTCCTAGTCTGCAAGAAGAGATGAAAAACTTATTTTTAGAGAAACTAACGAAGAGCTTTTCAATTACCAATTATGAGAGCTTTTTAATATTAAGACCCTAGAATAATCTGATTAGAGAGCCAAGATCTCAATTATTTTGATCATGGTCTTTTGTCTTAGTCCGAAGGATATTCCTTTATTGTTTGCTATGGTTAATTTATAAAAGGCCAACTGACTTTCATGGAAACATAAAAATTTTATGAAAAAGAAGAGTAACACAATTCTAATAATTATGCTTAACAACCTAAAGCTAGACAATTACTGAACTTATGCTCTAAAATTTAAAGTCCTTGAACCTTTCTCTATTGACCATGATAAAATATATAAATGAGGGGTGCCTTGGTGATTCATCTGCCTTCAGCCCAGGTCATGATCTCGGGGTCCCATGTCAGGCTCCTTGCTCAGTGGGGAGTTTGCTTCTCCATCTCCCCCCTCCCCCCTTGTGCTCTCTCTGTCTCTCTCAAATAAATAAATAAAATCTTTTGAAAAATGTGTAAAGAGGAACATGGTAAAACACCGAGTGATTACTTTTCTTTTTTTTAATTAAGGGACTAGTTGTCCTTACAACTCTTTATATGCCATTAAAATAGCATGTGTTGAACAAGGCAAACAAAATAAAAGGGATAAAATTCAGAGATGCATTAGAAATGGAAGTAGCCTATAAGTGAGCCCTGTCACATGTCCTGCTGTGTTATCTTCACTTCTATCCTCGTTCATTTAGAATGCAATGAAATCTGATTAAATAATGCAGCATTTGGATTTGATTCCTGTATAAAGTGGTTGCTGGCAAAATGTTAGGGGCAATTATCAGAGAAGAATGATGACTTGATTTTTATTTAAGTTCTGGACTCACAGTAAAAAGAATTTGTATTTATGCAGCCCTTCACAATGATAATCAATTTTCATTTTCCATACTTCTTTAGTAGATGAACCAGAGTTTAACTATCTGGCTTATGTAACATGGGAAAATGCACGATTTTTTTTCCCTCAGTACTATCGATGCCTGCAAAGTTATTGTCTTTCCTGTCAGAACAAAGTGCCTCAAAAGAGCTTACATGCAAAATTTGGCTTTCTCTGGGAAATAAAAGACAACACCAGTTTCTCACTTTTGTCTCCTGGGTCCAGCCCCAGGCCAACATTGGAAACAAGGGTGTCTTTTGCAAAAATCCCAGAGTTTCTCTCAGAGCTTCCTCCCACAGGTGCCTTCACCCTCAAGCTGCCCTCCCCCCTCCTGGGGTTCCTCTCCAACCCCTCCACCACGCAGACTCAGTGTCTCATTACTTCATATCCTCTTCAGCCTTTCAAAATGTCTCTGTGTGTTCCATTCCTGGTTCTGCTAGACTCTGGAGGAATAGTGGACATTAATGGTTCATATAATAAAAGGTGACTCTGGTATATTACCTGCCGATACATTGTTGTTTTTTTTTTTATTTATTTATGATAGTCACAGAGAGAGAGAGAGAGGCAGAGACACAGGCAGAGGGAGAAGCAGGCTCCATGCACCGGGAGCCCGACGTGGGATTCGATCCCGGGTCTCCAGGATCGCGCCCTGGGCCAAAGGCAGGCGCCAAACCGCTGCGCCACCCAGGGATCCCCGATACATTGGTTTTGATAGAAAAATTTGAAGATAGTGTCTTATCCCTAAGGCAGGCTAGAGGAAAAATATCGTAAGGCAGGCAGGTCTCTTCTGCGCTGCTATATCATCCCAAAATAGCTGCCTCTTTTCACCTGTGTATAACATTGGCTCTGGCGGCACATATGCACATTAAAAACAAAAAAAAAAAGGGACCTATGATAAACCTGGGGTACATATTGCACATTTGATGTGTGGGACAATTAGTCACTGTCATATCATTTCAAGCCATGGAGTTTTATTATTTTCAGAAGCATATGATATGTGCCTAGTAGTTCCAAAAATATGCAAACTCACATATAGGTGACATTTTATGTAATTTAAACAAATGATTACCTTATTAACATAAGAACCAGCATATTTTATTATCTTACAGCTAGACAGTGAGTGATAAAGCAGTGTATTTAGGGCCCCTGAAAAAGGAAAGTCAGGACAGAGATTAAAATGCCTAATTCATTACATGCCCTCAGGTGCCATCTCCCCAATGCCTCTGTGACCAGGGGCATTCTCAAAACTGTGGGAGCATTTTGCCTTTTCTAGATGTTATGGGAAAGAACGGAATCGGTGCCACCAGAAATATCTGCCTAACAAAAATTAATCGATACTAAGGTTGTATTATAAAATTTTCCAGCTCAAAAATTCCTACATATACTCACAGAGTGTCCTTTAATATTTTGGAAAATTGAAGTGTGAGGAAAGAAAGGGACTAGTTCAGAGCAGTAGAAAAGTTAATATATCATTTATGGTAGTGTTCCATGAGTTGCCTTGACTAAGGTATGTTAGCTTCAGGACTTGTACAATTTGTTTCTCCCACTTCGGAGCTCTAAGCTGCATTACTGCTGCAGACCACTGAAAGTTCATTAAAAGAATATCAGATGAGTTAGAATGACATCTAATGTTATAAGCAGTGGACTGACATACATTTTTGACCAGCATTAAGAACACATAGGTTATTTTCATAATGAATAAGAAATAAAGTGAGAGCAAGGAGAATGCGGCAAAAGCCAAGAAACCAGCAATATAAACACTTGAAATTTTCTAAGGATCATTTAGAAGTCCTGAGGAAGAATTTGCATTAAGAAAGAATTAGGCCCATGACTTCCTCCAACAACAGGAAGCCATTTACCTTGGGTATAACTTTACCACGTATTACTTAAGCTTGCTCTAAATGGATTCAGACTTACTAATAATAAGTTTTGGTCTGAGAGAGTCACCCCTGTGGTGGTGCCCATTTAACTCAAAGATATTTTACAGGTTAGTGAGTAGGTTGTGCTTATTTACTTATTTTTCTATTGAGCAGAAGTCAAGAGCTAACCTGATCATTTTGATGCATTTGAAAGTCTTAGGATTAATGGAAAAACATCCCAAAGATGAACTTCAACGATGCTTGATGACTTGGAGCTTAGGTTGAAGCCAAAATCATTTTTTTTGAAGCCAAAATCATTTAAATAACTATCAAATACTGAGTCTTTCAATCAACTCCTGAAGGATGAGAATCAAGATTTAGTGTCTTAATCACAGGACTTAAGAAGCCTGAATGGGTAGAGTGATAGGAGGATACCAATATAAATATTCATAGACAAAAGGCTGAAATCAATTAATTAATTAATTAAAAATAGCCGAAGATGCCCCTTGATAATGCAAGTGTGGATAGACAATGTGGATATTCTTGTTTGGTAATTCAAAAAGTATGATGATAAACACCCACTAGAATGTCTAAAATGAAGAAGACTGAAAATGCCAAATATTGCTGATGATGTGGAGCAACAGAGACTCTCAGACATTGTTGATGGCAAGTAAAACAGTCCAACTGCTTTGAAAAGGGTTTGGGAAGTTTCTTATGAGACTAAACACATACCTACTTAAGGACCTGGCAGTTTCATTTCTAGGTGTTTAACAAGAGTAATGAAAACATATTCACAGGAAGATCTCTGTACGATTGTTCACAGTAGTTTCACGTAGAATACCTGAAAACTGCAAGTAGCCCAGGTGTCTGTCAAAAGGAAAGTGAAGCAAACTAGTATATTCTTACAGTAAAGTAATGCTCAACATTTAAAAGGAGTAAAGCCTTGATACACAAAACAGCATGAATGAATCTCCAACACATGATCTTGAGAAACACCCTACACAAAAGAGTAAATATTATATGACCCCCTTTGTATGAAGTTCTCAAAGAGATAAACCTAATCATCCATGATAATTAACATAATGGTGAGGAGGGATTTTGGGAAGGGGCACGAGAAGGAACTTCCTGGGGTGAGGGTAATATTTCGTATCTAGGTAGAGGTTTGAGTTACATGGGTGTGGGTGTATACATTTGGCAAAACTTCTTGGATGGTACACTTAAGATTTGTATTTTGGATTATATGCAAAGTTTACTTAAAAAAATAAGAACCATTAGCAAATACTGAATTCTAATTAAGATATGCAAGCCAAACTATTTAGGGATAAACTTTACTGATATCTGCAACCTCAGAAAAATAATACGGATTGCTGATTGGATAGACGGATGGACAGTTTGATATATGGCAAAGCAAGTATAGTAGAATGTTAATTGTAGCATCTAGGTGTTGGGTGTTTACTTGCTGTCCCAGGATTTATGGTTCTCCAAGTAATTATATGGCGTCAATTGAACACATCAACCAAGAAGATTTATGACTAGTAAGGTCAGGTTCCGGGGTGGACACACTAAGGATTTTAGTTAGGAAATGTTCTGGCCTTGCACCTGTCTGCTCTGTGGTCAAGTTTGCTGGATTTTGGTGTCCAAGCAGCTGCTACCAGTTTTTGACAAACCAGCAAAATGTCTGTGGTCTTGAAAGTCTGTCCCTAATGTCACGGTTTGTAGATTCAGCTGAGGGCAGCGAGACATAAAAAGAGCAGAGTGGGTCTGGAGTCAGAAAACTCAGCTCTAAATATAGACGTTGCTGCTTAGAACTGTGATCCTAGGAAAACCATGTTAACTTGTCTGAGACTCAGTTTCCCCAGCTGTGAAA